TGTTCGCCCGGAAGCCTTTTCGAAGACATAGATCATCGGCGCACCTGAATACATGTATTGATCTCCCCTGGGCTACTCGCCCCTATCGTCGCCTCTGACAAACTTACTGGACCGTCGCGGGTCACGCCTCCCCGGCGGGCGGAATGCGCCTTAGGCGCCGCCGGGGGGGGGGGTCCAGCGCCGATCCAGGGGCAGGAGGACCTCCCTCACAATACAGTGGAGGCCAGTCCACAAGAAACCTTCCATGCGAGACCCAACCCTGAGACCCTCGGACGTCCACCGACGTTTGGTGCGGGAGCGTCACGCCGCCCATGGCAGAACCATCGAAGCCAGAGAAGCCCAGGGCACCCTGGAGGCGAGCAGGGTGTTTCTTGGCCTGGGCCACCACTGACAAACGCGCCTACAGGAAGGAACCGAACAGGGCAGGGCTGCTCGGAAGAAACGCCTGGGACTGTTTCGCGAACGCCAGCCAACGGGGTCGGGGCGTGTCTCTCCTCCCCTGACGCAAGGAGGGAGGACGGGCGGAGAGGCCCGCGAAGGGCGCGGCGCCGTCCGCGTCCACGCGCTCGTGGCTCGCGGGCTCCGTCGGCACCTCTGCGGGCCAGGGAGCGCGCCGCCGCCGCTGTCGCCGTCGCCTTCGCCCGCCTTCTTCGTCATCGTCGTCATCCTTCGGTCGTCGTCTGCGAGCTTAGGGGATCGAAGAATGACATAATCATATAACAACTCGGAGGTCCGCGTGAATTTCTTGGATCGGCGCTGGAGCCCCTCCCTGTCGCGCGGAGCGCGCCAGGGGCGGCGCCGGACGCGCCGCCATGGGGGCTCCAGGCGTCAGCCTACAGGCGAATTCTGGACGACAAATGCATCTAAATATATTAGGAAATAATTAAAGAATTGTTAGCATTTCGCCCCCATACTATTTTGAAGCTATATTTGGATATTCCTGCTGTAGAGGGACAGGCCCGACTTAACCCTAGAGCGTCCGCCATCGCACTCGTCGTCTTCGGTCGTCGGTCAACGTCGGTCTCTGCCATCTCCCGAGGTCGGGGATCTTCTGACCCGGGTCAATCTAGACCCGGGTCAGTCAAGCCTTGCAGAATCCTGCAAGATCCTGCACTCAAACTTGGGTCAACGCGAAGGGTCCTGTAGGATCCTGCACCCAAACCCGGGTCAATGCGACCCTGCCCCTGCAGGATCCTGCAAGATCTGGCGCTCTGGCTGACCCCGTTTGCCCTGACCCTCGTCTCAAGGTTCCCGTTATGTCGGGCCTGTCCCCCTACAGGGGGATTATCGACGAAAACAAGAAAAATACCAGAAAAATGCCCAACAGATGCCAAACAACTATTCAGAAAATAATCCCCAGACCATTCTTGGACTATTTCCTGTATATTTGTCAATGTTTTTAATTTTCCGTCGAAAATTCCCCTGTAGGGGGACAGGCCCGACGGAAGGCTCCCGCTGAGGTCTGCCGTCGGTCCGCCGTGGCTCGCCGGCTCCGTCCGCACCTCTGCGGGGGCTGGGTGTGCGCGCCGCCGCGTGCAAGCTCCCTGCCTCGCACTCGCCGTCGCCGACGCAGTCGTCGTCGCCATCCTCGTTGTCGTCGTCGTCGGTCTGTCGTCGCAACCTTTCGGTCGGGCATGTCCCCCTACAGGAGGATTTTGAGCGACAAATTGAAAATAGTCGGAAATACAACAACATTAGCAAAACTAGTAAAAACATTGCCCCCAGGCTATCAGTTGACTATTCCCGACGTAACGCAACCTGGCCGTCAACAGTGTCGTCCGTCGTCGCTGTTGTTGACGATGTCGTCGTCGCCGCTGTCGTCGTCGTCGTCTTTGCTCGCCGCCTCCGTCGTCGCTCGCGGGCTCCTCGTGCTTCGGCACTGGACCCTGTCCTCCTCCTCCTCCTCCTTCTCCTCCCCCTCAACCTCCTCCTCCTCCTCCTCCTCCTCCTTCCTCCCCCTCAACCTCCTCCTCCTCCTCCTCTCCTCCTCCTCCTCCTCCTCCCTCCTCCTCCTCCTCCTCCTCCTCCTCCTCCCCTCCTCCTCCTCCTCCCTCCTCCCTCCTCCTCCCTCCTCCTCCTCCTCTCCCCTTCCTCCTCCTCCTCCCCCTCCTCCTCCTCCTCCTCCTCCCCTCCTCCTCCTCCTCCTCCTCCTTCGCCTCCCCCTCCTCCTCCTCCTCCTCCCCTCCCCCTCCCCCTCCTCCTTCTCCTCCTCCTCCTCCTCCTCCTCCTCCTCCTCATCCTCCTCCTTCCTCCTCCTCCTCCTCCCCCTCCCCCTCCCCCTCCTCCTTCTCCTACTCCTCCTCCTCCTCCTCTTCATCCTCCTCCTCCCTCCTCCTTCTCCTCGAGACCTCCTCGGCGTGCGAGCTCGTTCTTGCCCCTCCCCAAAAACCCCTCCCGGGGAAGTCGTCGCCGCTGCTGCCGCCGTCGCCACCGTCGTTCGTCGCCGTCTCCGTCATGGCTCGTGTGCTGTGGAACTTGCCACCCCCTTGAGTAGGGGAACAAAAAATGACATAAACATAAAAACTCGGAAGTCCGCGCGGATTTCTCGGATCCGCGCTGGGGCCCCCCGGCGGCGCCTCCGGCGCCGCCTCTGGCGCCGCCCCTGGCGCGCTCCACGCGCCAAGGAGGAGGGTCCAGCGCCGATCCGAGAAATCCGCGCGGACCTCCGAGTTTTTATGTTTATGTCACTTTTTGTCCCCCTATTGAAGTCCCCTCGGCGTGTGAACTCGATATTGCGCCCTCCCCCACGGCAGATCTGGAGAGGGGGCGGGTCCCGCAGGGGTCCGCTGGACCCATCCCGGAGGGGTCGTCTGCTTCATGCTCTATTCCAGAAGCGCCCCCTGGGCAGCCTGACCAGGGCTGCACCCGAACAGTGTTTTATGTTTACTTATCGGGTTGCGCCCGCCCCCCACAGGAGGACGGAAAAGGGGAGGCCACTCGATCCTTGAAGTATGGAGGCGCTTGACGCAGATTGGAAACAGGGAATCCAAAAATACCTACTCTCAACGACCAATGGTGCTACGTTCTGCTTCTGTTCCCGACGAGGTGTGCGCGAAAACGCCGGCCGGCGTCTCGCGGGTCGTGCTGGAGGAGTGCATTACTCCAGATTTCGTAATCAAGGGAGGGGGGTCTCATTTCGGGGGGGGCTCTTCCAGGCTATCTAAGAGGGCCTGGGGGGGCCTGGGGACGATGTTTCGGAGGGTTCTCCCACGGGGGAGGTCTGAAATGGCTTGTCTTGGAGGGTCCAGACCCCCTCGCTTTTATGACGAAATCTGGAGTATCCCTTGAGCAGAGCACGGGACGCCCCGCGGCCGAGCACGGGGCGCCGAGGAGGGGAATGCCGGAGCGCAGGGCGCCGAACAGCGAGGCCCGGGCCCCCAAAGCGCGCAGAACGCCGAGCAGCGAGCTCTGAGCCCGACTCGCATCGAGTTCGTGCGCTTTCGCCGACTGCCCAGCCAACATAAAGGGGCCCCAGGACACGCACATAAATACACACAAATAAAACGTTTCCCCATATTTTCCCATATTTTCTGGGTTTTTGTCTTCCCCCCCACTTCCCATATTTTCCCATATTTTCTGGGGAGTCGACGATTAATTGTGTCTGTGTGTTTCTTCCCCTCCTGACGACAGGCATCCCGAGAGTTCGGCGGCGCGGCGCCAACCCTTCGAATCAGCGTCCAGGCTGCAGCGGAGCGCCTCGGGAGCCCGAGAGGAGGGGGGGCGCGACGCCAGGGCCAAGTCGCGAGGCGTGAAAGGTGCCAATGTGCGATCCATTCTCACGACTATCCCTTGCAAGGCGACCCCCCTTTAACCCAGAAGGATCTCTAACCACCCCGTCCCCAAGAATGGAAAAATGATTATTGATTGGGCGGGCTCATTGACAGATGGGGACCCGAACAATACCAGTAAATAATAATAATTCCCCCGCGGCTGCCATCGGTGACGATCTCCGGGGATGAGGATCTGTGATGGTGATGCTGATGCTGATGCTGATGCTGATGCTGATGCTGCTGCTGCTGCTGATGCTGCTGATGATGCTGATGGTGGTTGTGGTGATGCTGATGATGATGGTGATGGTGATGATACTGTCAATGCTGATGCTGATGCTGAAACTGATGCTAATGCTACTGCTGCTGAATGATGATGAATATAATGATAATGCTGATGATGATGCGGATGATGATGATGCGGCTGCTGTTGATGATGATGATGCTGATGATGATGATGATTATGATGATGATGATGATGATGGTGATGATGATGATGATGATGATTATGATTATGATTATGATGATGATGATGATGATGATGATGATGATGATGATGATGATGATGATGATGATGATGATGATTGTGAAGGGAAGAACGAGGAAAGAAAGAACGAATTGAATTGCCAACCGAGAGCCTAAGGGGGGGTCCTGGTCAACGCTAATCCCCCCCAAGGCCCGCGCCGAGTCGCCGACCCGTTTCCGCGTACCCCGCAATCTTATCGAGTAGGAATCTAACAAAAACTATGCAAATCACTCGTTTGGGCCTCTTGGGCTTTCTAGGTGTCCAAGAAGGCCTCAAGAAGGTTCAAGATGGTTGCAAGACGGCTCAAGTCGTCCCAAGGTGGCCCCAAGATTGCCCCGGAAGGCTCCGAGGGGACCCCCAAGAGCGCCTCCAGATGCCAACAACTACAATTGTGTTTACGTTGTTTTCCGTTTTTCCCATTGGATTTAGTCGGCGCGCAGCTGCCTGCGTCGCTCGCGATCAAACTAGTTTTTCTCATTTGCACTCTCAGGGGCCCATGACGACCCAAGCAGCCTCCAAGATGGCCCCGATACGGCCCAAGAGGGCCCAAAGACAGCCCACGAGCAGCCCACGATGGCCCCACGAGACCCACAAGACAGACCAAGAGGTCCTCAAGACGGCCCGGAACGACCCCTAGAGAGCCCCAAGGCGGCCCCCAGAGGCCCCCAAGACGGCCTCCGAAGGGGCCAGACGGCGCAAAAGCGCCCCGACACGGCCCAAGACACGCCCAAGAGGTCCGAATAGGCCCCAAGGGAAGCCCCCAAGAAGCCTCCAGCAGGCCGTAAAAGGCTCCCCAAATTCCCACAACGACTGGACTGTACATGGTCCGGACATGCACCACGCCAAACGAGAGGAACCGCATGAAACCACACAACGCAATATGGAACTGCGCCTGCAACTCCCGACCCCGTCTCCGTGCGGCATCCCTCGAGCCGGATCGATCCGCGAGGGTCCCTGGGCCCGAGGCTGCACAAAGAACGCCCGCCGCGGTTTCTGTGTTGCGACGCCTGGATCTATTGGGGCCCCAAAACCGTGTGGTGGCGGATCGCGTGGTGACCTGGGACTTCCCAACGATGTCACCGCGCGGCCCGTCAACACGTGGCTTTTAGAACTCCAGGTCCCCGGTCGCCCGAGACGCCCTCGGAGAACGAACCGAGTCCCAATGACTCACACCTCTGGGGCGGCCAAGAGGGGGGCGTCCAAGAGGGGGGGGCGTAAATCATGGCCAGCGGCATGTGCGCCGCCCAGGGGGGGGGCCAGGGGACGTAACGAAATAAAAGGGGCCATGAAATGGGAGGAACAATCATGGCCCACGCCATGATATGGGACCCCACACGGTGTGGTCACCACACCGTCTGGGACCCCCTGAGGATCTGGGGCGCTCGTCACCGTCGCCGAAGCACCGCCAGACAGCGCCGCTCCAAGCTCTGGGGGCGCTCGCCGTCGCCGCCGCTGCCGCGACCGCCGTCGCCGCCGTCGTGTCCGTCGGTCGGCCGGCTGGTAGGGGTGCAGGTCGGTCCGTCGGTGGGCCGTCGTCGTCGCCGTCGTCGGACGCCGTCGTTGGCCTTCGCCTTCGCCCTCAGCGGTCGTGGGGGCCGAGTCGTGGGCCCTCTTCCAGGGAGCCAGCGTTTCTTCCCGACCTGTTTTTGGACTGTCCCCGGGGCCGTCGAGGGCCCGGAAAGTGCCAGAGGCCTTCCTTGCAAGACGCCCGAATTATCCGGGGTAAGTCGGGTCCGAGGCAACTCGGGTTCGGATTCCCGAAAAACGAACCCGAGTTAGCCCTGACCCGAGTTACCCCTGGTGATTCGGGGCTCTGACTTCCGTCGTGCCCTCGAGGATGCAAAATATCAGCGGCTCCGAAGGGCTCGGACTGCGCGGGGTGTGGCCTTGCAGCCCGCACGTGGGGAGAGGCGGGGAGCGGGCGAGGACCTCGACGGAGAGCTCTGCCGCGCCCCGACGAGGGCTCAACAGGAGCGCGTTTCTTTATCTTCGGCGATAATGGGCATTATACGGGGGGGGTATAATTCAGGGATGAAAAAACGACCCTACCCTGAGTTACAAGTGCGTGGTCTGCAAACCTCCTGGGACCCCCCAAAGCCTAGAGCCGCCAGGACGCGGCACATCACGCAGGGTTTACCCTGTCAGCCCACAGGAGGTTCAGCGCGCAGCGCCTCGTAAACCAGGGTAGGGGCGTTTGTTATGCCCTTGATATCATGTAACGCCTCCCCCCCGCCGTGCGCACGGCGGCAGTGCTCCGAGCGCACTGGGGAGGGGGGAGGGCGTTACGTTACAGGGGTGGGGGAGGGGGTTCAGGGGGCTATAGCCCATTATGCCCTAAGCAATAAAGAAACACGCTCCAGACATGTGGCGCAACGCGGTGGCCCCCTAACCCCCAGCGGCGCTGAGCGCCGCAAGCCACACCCAGGCGTAACCACACCCAGCTGTGAGATCCGGCGTGCCGAACAAAAATTGCAGCATCGCAGAAAACCACGCCCGGAACCCTGGACCCCATCTTTCGGCGTCATTTTTCGAGCCGGATCGATCTGCGAGGGACCCCAAGCCCGAAAAGAGGCGAAAACGCCCAGCTCGAAACAATTGCGACGCCAGAGCCGCCAGGATCTCAGGGATTGCAGTCGCCGAGAGGGGGTCGTCGCCGCTGCCGTCCCCGTCGCTGGAGCACCACCAGGTAGCGCGACTCGAGGCTGTGAGGCGCCGAAGCCGTGGCGAGGTCGCCCACCAGCTGCACGACGAGGTCGCCGCCCTCCGCCTTGGCCGCCGCGGGGGGCGCCAGCTCGACCCTCGAGCCTCGACGGTCGAGCCTCGACGAGGGAAGAAGGGACCTTTTTTGGACGCAGGCATCACGCTGCGTGTGCTCTGTCTGTTCAACTCGGCAGCCTGAAATACAGCCGGACTGGAGTGGAGCGGACAGGACACGCGAGGGGACACAAGACCCTCCCGCGGGCCACATCGCCACAGGAGTGTGGGAGGCAGGGGTCGCGAGGCACAGGACGCAGGGGCACCCTTGATTTGGCAGGGTCGGCCTGCCAACTAGGGCCGACCGCAGAGAGAACGACAACAGAGCGAGCGGGCGCGCCTCCTCGAAGCCTCGGGGAGGCCCCGGAAGCGGAGGGGTCCTCCTGGGGCCGCCCACGGCGCTGGGGCCAGGTGCTCCTCGCGGGGGAGGGCAGGGGGGGAGGGACAGAGGAGGGAGCAGGGCCTTGCCATGGGAGGGTGCAGGGCTGTCTTGGATGATGTTGGCGATCGGTGGAGGGGGGGGGAACTCATTGCTGACGCCTGCAGATCTAACACTCTAACCATGCCCTCTCGGGCTTCTGTACGCGCGCCAGACAAAGAACCAACAGGGCAGTTTTTAATACATAGGATCTTTAAACATATATTTAATACATGATTAATGTATGAATGAATTTATGCATGATCTCATCGTTGGCTTCAATACTAAATCCCTGCACTTGGAATACATGATCCGCACGCGGAGCATGTATTAAAAACGGCACTGTCTCAGGAAGCAGGCTGGATGCGGCAAGATCGCGTCGCGATTGCGTAGGCCTTGGTCTCCAGCACTGCACGGACACTGCGACCGCTGGCGATCGCGGCCGGCTGAGACTCAGCGCAGAGATCGCTCGACGTCGGGCCGACGCCCCGGCCGCCGGCAGCGCTCCGCCCGCGCCGCGGTCGCCGCCGCGTCGGCGCGAGCCGCGGGCCTGCCCCGCCGGAGGCCGAGCGAAAGAACGCGAGGCAAGCTGGCTAGACCTGCGCCCGTGAGCTGACGCCCCGACTACCATCAGGTCGGGCATGTCCCCCTACAGGCGGAGGTTGGACGGCCAATGAAAATACCCAAACAGCCATCAATCAGCATCAAAAAAGTCGTCGCCCATACAATGTTGAGACCATTTCTGAACGCTCCTCCTGTAGAGGGACGCGCCCGACTTGCGACTACGGGGCAATCTTTGGTGGCACCCTTCCACCGAGCCCTGCCGCAGGGGCACGCGGCCGCGGCGGCCTGCGGCAGGGCCTGCCGCAAGCCCGTGCGCCGCCAGGGCACGCCGCCGCGGGCCTCGCGAGCCACGCGCAGCACGGGAGGCGGCGGAATGCGCCGCTCGTCGAGGCCCGACGCGCACTCGGGACGCAGAGCGAGGGTATGACGAGCAGCTGCAGTAGGAGCTCGACCACAAGGAACCTTCCACGAGAAACGCCACCCTGAGACCCCAGCGTGTCCAATTGATGTTTGGCGCGGGAGCGTCACGCTTTCCATGGCAAAACCACCGAGTCCCAAGAAACCCGGGGCACACCGGAGGCTAGCAGGGTGTTGCTTGGCATGGGTTTCCACTGCAGCTGGCTCCGGGAGCACGGCGTGCGCGTGCAAGGACACGACTTCGGCCTGTCCTCGTCGCAAAGCTCGGGGCGGCGTGGACCCGCATGCTGTCGGGAGTGCCCCAGGTGGCTGGGCTCTGGCGCCGAACGCGGCGGAGCGCGGGCATGTGCAGGGGGTACGGTGGCTGTCGCCTTGCCACGGGCGCGGTCGTGGGGGGGGGCCAACAACCTATTCGTACTCTGCTATTTTTTTAGAGGTGGTGATGGTTTTCTCAACCAAACTGGAGCTGCAGACGAGCTACAGAACTGTTCGGCACAAGAATCGGAAGGAAATCATCAGGCGCGCTAGTCTAAAGTATATGGACGCCTGAACTCGGTCTGCTATGGGAGCTGGTTTCGAACAACTACGGCAGGTTCGTGTCGTGCCGACCCCAGCGTTGGTTTTTGACACCGCAGGGATCGTTCAACCTTGAACGATCGGCCGCTGCCGCAACGTCCGATCGTTCAACATCGATCGATTCTGGGTCGCCGGCGGCGTTCAACCTTGAACGCCCGCGCTGGGGTCGCCGCTGGTCGACACGACGCGAACCTACCGTATTTGTGCTTGGAGCAGGAGCTGGCGTCACTCCTCGGCGATGCGCACGGTCGCGGCCTCTAGCCCCACGCCGCCGCCCCGCGCACGCGCGCTTGCCCCGACGTCTTCGGTCCGGGTTGCCGTGGCACACGGCCTCGTGCCCAGGGAAAGGGCGGCGGATCGGCGAAGGGCAGTTGCGCGCACGATGATGTTGCTTCATCCACTCTTCGAGGAGCGGGCGCAAACGTGCGCTCGCACGAGGAAGGACTCCCTCCCATATCTGTCCTTCCCCTCCCATCCTCCTCCCTCCCTGTTTCCTAGTTGATGTCCTCCTCCAAGGTCCCTCCATTATTCTCCCTGATCCTCGTCCCTCCTCTGACTTCCAACTCACTTCTTCCTCCCACATCCATCCTCACTCTCCTCGTCTCAACTCCCAACTCCCCTATGCCTCGTCACTTCTCCCTCCCACCAATATTTTCTCAACTCTGTCGTCCTCCTCCCTCATCCTCATTCACCCTACCGCCCTGCTCCTTCCAACCTCACCCCCTCCCTCCCTCCCCCTCCACAACTACACAATCTGAATACTACTCTCCTCCCTCCCCCGAACATGCCGGCGAGGTGTACTGGTCTCCTCCGCGTTATGTTTTTTGTTTTCTTTTGTATATAAAATGTATCAATAATGATCATAATAATGATATTATTTTACAGACTGGATACCGCCGAGTTGAGAATCAAAAGTTGTTTTTCCAATTCCAGCGCTTTCAATCCTTTCAGAATGGCGCTCCCGCTGCAACATTGGCTGCATTTTTCCGTGCTCAGTCCTTCCAAATCATGTGCCTGTTGCAACGCTGACCTCATTTCATTGTTTCGGTTCTTCCAACTCGTGCTCCTGCAACAGCGTTGGCTTCGGTTCGGCACTTCCAGTCCTTCCACATTGTGTTCCCACTGCAGCGCTGGCCTCATTCCCGCGGTTTCGATCCTTCGAAATCGCGCAGCCGCTACAGCGTCGATCTCATTTCGCGCTGCCCGCTTTCCAAACCAAACCGACCACTTGCATGTCCTGTCCTTGTGTCATGTCTGGTTTCCCTCTGACCTTTTTGTCGCAACGAGTCGCGTTCTCGACGCGACGACGTCGGCTGTGACCGTGCTCTTCTGAGATATACCATGCATCGCGCATTCTCTTGGGATGATTGCCCTGTTCGACATCCGACTCTGCGAAGAAAGAGGAGATCTACGCAATGGTAAAGGATGGGAGGGACGGGTAGGCTTTCGCACCTAACTTGTCTCCCCCCCCTCCCCATCCTCCGATCCGATGACATTTCCCAGGAGGTTCCTTTCGGGAGGCAAACGCCAGCCCCAAGCGACGCTCCAGCGTCAGAGCCGTCCTGCCAAGTTGCTGCCCAGGGCGATAACCTGCCACCCTGAGGCCATGCCGACCAGCCAGAAGCTTCCCTGACATCCGACGTCGCGAAACAAGTGCACGCCACAAGCGACATCCCAGGACCACGCTGTTCGGCCACATCTCTCGACCCGGATCGCTCTGCGAGGACCCTGGGGCCCGCAGCAGGGCGAAGACGCCCGGAGCGAAGGCGCCGGCAGTGCCCAGGCCTCCGGGCGGCACAGCCAAGACGAGACCTCCTCCTCCTCCTCCTCCTCCTCCCTCCCTCCCCTCCTCCTCCTCCTCCTCCTCCTCCTCCTCCTCCTCCTCCTCCTCCCCCTCCTCCTCCTCCTCCTCCTCCTCCTCCTCCTCCTCCTCCTCCCCCTCCTCCTCCTCCCCGCCCCTCAGACCGAGCGGCCTGGGCCAGCGGGTCCTGGTGGCTCAGAGTGAGCCTGGCGTCGCTGTAGCTGACGTTCCTGGGGCCCGCCCGCCGCGGCGGCTCTCCGTGGCCCTGCCCAGGCCTGCCGCCAGCTCGGCCCGCCGAGGGTCCCCTCCTCCTCCTCCTCCTCCCTCCTCCTCCTCCTCCTCTCCTCCTCCTCCCCCTCCCCCTCCTCCTCCTCCTCCTCCTCCTCCTCCTCCTCCTCCTCCTCCTCCTCCTCCCTCCCCCTCCTCCCCCTTTTTCTCCTACTCCTCCTCGATCGAGCCCGATCCCCCATCGATCGGCCGAACCTCATCGATCGAAGGCGGCCCCCGACCTATGCTGAGCTGGCCCCTGGCGCCAGGACCTCGACTAGGGGAGTTCTTCCCTCCCCGTCCTCGACCTCTCTCGGCGACGCGCAGGAGGACAGTCAAGTCGGGCGGGTCCCTGCACAGCAGGAATAGTCACAAATAGTCAAACCAAGTCTGGGGACGATGTTTTGAGTACTTGTGTTTTATCATTTTGGGGTATGTTTTGGATATTCCTCGTTTGTTCGTCCAGAATCGTCACCCCGCATAGTAAGAGTGGGCACCCTTCCCAAGGGTACCCTTGCATCCTTGCCTCTTCGGTCCGCCCTTGGCCGCTGTGCGTGACCGCGCCCCGCCCGAGCGTTTCGCGATGGGCCTGCGAGGCCCTCGCCTCCTCATCGCGTATCCGTATGACCTGATCAGTCTTGATAACAGGGGATGTGTCGACCCCTATCCCAGGCTTCGTGGGGTTTCCAAATGGACCAGAAATTTGGGGCCCAACCCTGGGATATACGATGGGGGGGTGTCCGTGCTCGGTAGGGGTGCGTCCGAATGGCCCCCTTGGGGTGTATCCCAAGGTTTTCCCATTTTTCTGAGCGGCGAAACTTTTCGGGCGAAACTCGGGGATTGGGGGAGAAACATTAGGAGGCCTCCTAGATGGGGTCGGAGTAGATGGGGTCGAAGGATCGCGCAGTATCGGCGATACATCGGCGATGCATCGGCGATGCATCGGCGATGCACTGGCGATGCATCGTCGACGTCGGCGATGCATCGGCGACGTCGACCTGAAGCAAATCGGGCCCTACATCGAGCCGCATCGGCGATGCATCGGCGATGCGGCGCGATCCTCCGACCCCATCTACTCCGACCCCATCTAGGAGGCTCCCAACTTCGCGCGAAGCGCGAATAACTTCGCGCTCTCGCGCCGCCCCCCCAAAGGGAGAAAAGGAGGACGAGGAGGAGGGGGAGGAGGAACGAGGACCGCGAAGCGCGAAGGGCGAATAACTTCGCGCCCTCGAGGGAGCCCTTGGGGATTGGGGGAGAAACATCGCCCGCGACTTGATCCTTCGCGCGCGTCTTTCCCGGGCCGCGGGCGAGTGCCGCACCCAGGCGCGCGCAGGCCAGTGCGGGGGCGACCCCCCGCGGGCGCACTCGGGCGGAAGGCCGCTCCTCCGTGCCGCCGACGCCGTCCTCCTCCCTCCCCCCTCGATCTCCCCGACCTCCCTCCCCCCTCGATCTCCCCGTCCTCCTCCCCCTCGATCTCCCCGTCCTCCCTCCCCCTCCCTCCCCCCTCCCCCCCTCCCCCCTCCCTCCCCCCTCCCCCCTCCCTCCCCCCTCGATCTCCCCGACCTCGCTTCACAGGCTCAACGAGCGGCACGAGCCCCGAGGGAACGAGTGCTTCGCTGACGCCTGATGTGAACTTCCGAGCTCCCGGGGCCCTGCTTGGGCCCCGGGACCGCCAAGAACGAATCCAGATGGAAAGATGGTCCTGGTAAGCCCGCTTCCCTCAGGATCTCTTTCCTGCGAGGCGACTCGTCCTCCTGTTCATCCTTCTCCTCCTCCTCCTCCTCCTCCTCTTTCTCCTCCTCTTCCTCCTCCTCCATCACACTCCAAGGTTCCTCGTCCACCAGTATCCGCAATATGCGTGCACGTTTGCATGCATGTGAATCCATCGGTAGCCCATGAATGAATTCAAACTCGCTCCCAGAGCCCCTTCCCTTACCAGCCGGTTCCTCCATGAAGATGTTGGATCATCTGGCTTCGCTAAGCTGACGGTAATGTCGTAGAAGACTGGGCAGGCGGTCAAACTTGATGGAACGAGAATGAAATTCTGAGCAGGAGCGAGAGATTGCTACAGATGGCCTGATGGAGAGGAAGAGGAAGACAGAGAGAGAGAGAGAGAGAGCGAGGGAGAGCGCGAGAGAGAGAGAGAGTGACAAAGACAGAACCAGCGAGACATCCTGATGGAAGCATGTCTTGGCTGTTGTTGCCATGGAAAGGAGAAAGAGGATTGACATGTTGAGGGAAGGCCAACAAACAGATGCAAGCAATGCAAGCGACTACACAAGAGACTACCTGCATCCGCTTCGGATCGATTCGTCAATCCGAGATCAACAAAAATATGGACCCATTCCAGGGGGGCATTTTTGTTTATACCAAACAATGTGCTGTTGGTCTGGGGCCATAAGACGGCCCCAGAAACCAAGATCTGTGAATAGCGCCATGGTTAAACGAGCATCATGCCAGAGGCCTCGGTCGGCCCCGGGCCCCGATGCCGACCCACCCGATTTTTGGATACGTCCTGGCCAGACAGACTCTCAAAAGGGAACCAACCTAGCAATGGTCCCGAGGGCTCCCCTACCCCTGCTGAAAATAAGGCCATGACTGATGGGCACGAAGATCCCACGATGTGAATCCTGTGTAGGGGGCCCGTGGAATAGCTCCCAGCGGCTCCCCATTGGGGTGCCTAAATCGCAGCTACATCGCGGTGACTATAGGTGTGCGAGTCTGAGTGTGAGTGGTGATTCTGCCTGTGAGTAAAAGACTGAGTCTGAGTGAGTCTGCGTCTGAGCATGTCTGACTGAGAGCAAGTCTGGATGTGAGAGAACCAAGAGATGCGAGCAGTCTGTGTGCATGATGATTATGCCTAAGCCGAGTATGAGTGGATCTGACTGTATGTGCGCATCAGCGTGAGTGAGCCTCAGTGTGTGAGGTTGCGTGCACACGATAAGAGATGTGGGTGCCCTGCCCCCGACAAACCATGTGAGGTTCGCGTCTTCTTTCTCGGCTGCCCGGGGGGGGCCCTCCCGCGGCCCCGGGGGGGGGAAGACCAGTACTCGCCATCGCTCGGACGTCCATTCCCTGTGCACTGTTCGGTCTCGGTCTCGTGCGCTTTTTTCCTCGATGATCCAGGATGCCCCTTCGACGGTCCTCGCCGAGAACAAAACAACACACGCCCGAGAGATGCCGGGTGTCTCGCCGCCGAGGGGCGAGGCTGCGGGGCGCGCAGGGCGTGCCTTGCGGAGGCCGCACCTCGTACACCTGGTACCACAGCTCGTCCCAGCCTGCGGCCACGAAGCGGGGGGGGGGCTGGAGCCGATCAGCCATAACTGGGGGAGCTGTGGTCCTTACCCCCACTGGGGGAACCCATCGCGTCGGCGATCTCTCGAGAGGGGTGTCGAAATCGATGGGTCCCCCAGAGGGGGTAAGGACCACAGCTCCCCCAGTTGTGGCTGGCCTGTGAAGGGGCAAGGCTTCGCCAGAACGCATCGCGAAGCGGCTCGGCTCGGAAACGGATCTGATCGCCAACGGATCGCCCCGAATCGGGCCGAAATCGGAACGCCGCCCTCGGCTCCGGCCGGCCCCGGAATGGCAAAAAGGCGGGGGAGGGCGAATCGAGGCGAATCGAAGCTAAGTGGCGAGAAGACGGGGGAGGGCGGTTCTGGGGGAGGGGGGGGGAGGGAGGAGGAAAGGGGGATGAGGACGGAGGCAAGGAGGAGCGGGGAGGGCCGAGGGAGGCGAGCGGAGGAGGGAGAGGGAGGGCGGGAGAGGGCGGCCCGACCTCCGAAGCGGGCTGCTAAAGGACAGCACCATGACCTCTGAACTCGAATGCTGGTCGCGGATTTGAATAGTTATGACATGTCTATGAGGGTGAACGTAGAGGGGGGCGGTTCAGGGGGGAGCATCCAGCTGGGATCGGCGATACATCGCCGATAGATCGGCGATCGGCCCCCCTTATGGCAAATCCGAATGGTCGTGAGCGGGGTGGGCTATCGGGCCACAGTCGGCGATGCGTGAGCGATTGTGAGCCTGTCCCCCCTCGCGGTGCCCGTGGGTCCGCTGGAGGGATAATTTGCAACACTCCAGAGCAAATCCATAAATCATCTGCCTGCAGAGGTCCACGAAAAAATCCCCCGGGCAGTAATCGGAAAACAGTACCAGCACCTCTGGGCTCCAATTCTAGCAGAGGCTCGAAGCAGTCCCGGCAGGCCTGCTGCAGGGCTGCACCCTGGAAGGTCAGGGGGGGGAGCGGGAGGAGGGGGGAGGGAGAGGAGGGGCGATGAGGAGAGGGGCGATGAGGGAGGGAAGGGACGAGGAGGGAAGGGCGAGGAGGGGAGGGGAACGAGAGGGGAGGGGAGGGGGAGGAGGGGCGAGGAGGGGAAGGGCCCTCTTGTAGGTGGGAGGGCGAAAACTAGGTGCCCAGGGGGACGCCCCTCCCTCCGTCCGACGGGGGTAGGGGAGACCCCCCCCCCCGCCCGTCCAGGAGGAGCGAAGAGGAGGCGACGAGGGGGGGGCGGGAGGCGCAGGGGCGAGGGGGGAAGACGAGGGGCGCAGGAACGAAGAGGGGGGACGAAGGGATGTGGACGAGGCGGTGAGGCGCGGGCGCGGGAGGGGGCGACGAGGAGGCGACGGCGGCAAAAACCAGAAGATCGCGGCGGGACGGGGGCGGAGGGCCCGGTCGGACGAGCGAGGCGCTTCAGAAAAGGAGCTTCCGACTGGACACATAATCATGGCCCAAGCCGGGGGCATTCGAGGATCGACGAGGAAAGGGAGGGGGAAGAGGAGGAGGAGGAGGAGGAGGAGGAGCAGGAGGAGGAGGAGGAGGAGGAGGAGGAGGAGGAGAGGAGGAGGAAGGAGGAGGAGGAGGAGGAGGAGGAGGAGGAGGAGGAGGAGGAGGAGGAAAAGGAGGGGAGCAGGAGGAGGGGAGGAGGAGGAGGAGCAGGAGGAGGAAGAGGGGGAGGGGGATGAGGAGGAGGAGATGGAGGAGGAGGAAAAGGAGGAAGGGGGGGAATCTGAGGAGGACTAGGAGGAGGAGGAGGGGGGGGGGGAGGTGGAGGCGGAGGAGGAGGACGAGGAGGGGCATACGCGTGAGCATGACCATAAGACAAAGTCTTGAAGAGAGGCCCTCGCCCCTGCTCGGAAGACGGACGACGCGAGGAAACCCCGCAGCGCGAGTTATACGACATAAATGATCTGTCAAAACAGAAAATCGCACCAATATTGTGTGTTGCGGTGTGAACCGAAACTGTGGCAAACCCATTGCGCACTCAGGCCCGAGATGCACAGCTTGGCAGCGCTGACAGGATTGTGGCTTCACCATTATTGCAAGTCCCTCGATACACAACACTAACTGCCAGACCAAACCGTACCATTGAATGCTGTGAGACGCCGCGCCCGACGAATGCCGAACAAGGAAGAAGACGGTGAGAATGACAGCACTATGAACGATAGGTGCCAACCACCAGAAATACAACATACCCTCCCCAAGCGGAAATGGGATATGCCAACATGGTAACTGATGACGCCGGGGCACCGACACTTTCGCCTCGCCCTTAACCAACCCACGTCCCGTCGGAAATTCCGGAGCTGCGGGTAGCCCCAAGCACGCCGCGAGGAGGCGACGAGGCAGGACCCATGGCGCGTTTGAGCCGAAAGGGAACAACGCGCCTTGGGCCCCGTGTGCTTGTGGACGAGGAAACGGAGGAGGAGGAGGAAAAGGAGGAGGAGGAGGAGGAGGAGGAAGGAGGAGGAGGAGGAGGAGGAGAGAGGAGGAGGAGAGGATGGGGAGGACGAGGAGGAGGGGGAGGAGGAGGAGGAGGAGGAGGAGGAGGAGGAGGAGGAGGAGATTGAGGAGGAGGAGGAGGAGAAGAGGAGAAGGGGGAAGAAGCAGGAGAAGGGACGAGGATGAGGATGAGGAGGAGGAGGAGGAGGAGGAGGAGGAGGAGGAGGAGGAGGAGGAGGAGGAGGAGGAGACGAGGAGGGGGCGGAGGAGGAGAAAAAGGAGGAGGAGGAGGAGGAGGGGGGATGGGAGGAAGAGGGGGAGGAGGAGGACGACGAGGAGGAGGAGGAGGAGAGAGGAGGAGGAGAGGAGGAGGAGGAGGAGGAGGAGGAGGAGGAGGAGGAGGAAGAGAGGAGGAGGAGGAGGAGGAAGAAAAGAAAGAGGAAGAGAAGGGAGAGGAACAAGAGGAGGAGGGGGAACAGGAGGAGGAGGGGGAGGAGAGGAGGGACGGAGGAGGATCAGGAGGAGGAGGGGGAGGAGGAACAGAGGAGGAAGCGGAAAAGGAGGAGGAGGAACATGATGAGGAATATGGTGAAGGGAGGAGGAGGAGAGGAAGAGGAGGAGGAAGAGGAGGAGGAATCATTGTGGGATGAAATTGAGGAGGAGGAGGAAGAGGAGGAGGAGGAGGAGAAGGAGAAAGAAAAAAAAAAGAAGAAGAGAAGGGAGAGAAACAAGAGGAGGAGGGGGAACAGGAGGAGGAGGAAGAGGAGGAGGAGGAGGGGGAGGAGGAGGATCAGGAGGGAGGAGAGGAACAGAGGGAGGAGGAAGCGGAGAAGGAGGAGGAGGAACATGATGAGGAACATGGTGAAGGGAGGAGGAGGAAGAGGGAAAGGAGGAAGAGGAGGAGGAATCATTCGGGGGTGATATGGAGGAGGAGGAGGGGGAGGAGGAGGAGGAGGAGGAGGAGGAGGAGGAGGAGGAGGAGGAGGAGGAGGAGGAGGAGGAGGAGGAGGAGGAAGAGGATGGGGAGGAGGAGGGAAGAGGAGGAAAAGAAGGGTTGGAGTTAGAGTTTGGGTCCCAAGGCGCGGTCCGACCAACACACTACACACACGCACGTGTTGGGGGCGTTCAACTCTTGACGGTCGAGCTCGTTTTTACGATCGCCTTAGGCCAACACTCCAAGCATGCGCGTCTTAACTAATGTTTCCGAATCGGGGTCGGTGGCGGCAAGCACTCAGCCCTTAAACCGAACAGCTGCTTATCCCCATGAATCCCACAGCTGACAGAGAACCCGAGTCGTAAGTCCTGATGCAGCCTCATAGAATGTCGCGGGTGGGCCCACCCCCCAGAAATGTGAATAGCCCCCCCCCTGGAATTGCACGAGGGAAACCATCGAGAGCCGTGAGGCGAAAACGCGGCGTCTTACGCCACTCCTGGACGCGGGCAGCCGACGCCGAGCCACAACAACGGCGACATCTTTTCCCATGCCCAATGAAAACGATGGCGGTAGGGAACACAGCCACAGCCTCGGCCACAGGAGGGGGTGGGGGAGAAGAAGGATGGAGGTCCGACTCACGGGGATCACCCCCCTCTCCCTCGCGGCCTCGGGCGCCCCTCGCCCGTGGGTGCCTGCGTGGCTTCTGGCCCCTTTTCGGCCTAGCGCGCGTCCAGGTGCGACCGCAAGATCCTCATTCTCACCATGTACAGAGCACGTTCCTTGTCCAGAACCTTTGATGGGATGGCGTAATCGAGCCAGCTTAGCACCATCATCTGCGAACCCATCAGCACCTACATTGCCGAGAACCGTCCACGATGAACTATTCCGATCAACGACCGCATATGTTGCCTCCAAGTGCGAATGAGTCCACATAATTATCTGTGACATCACCTGGCTTTCTTCCATTCTAAACTCGCAAGCTGGTCCTTGCCCAGAACTCTGTATGTTCGCATGCTGGTTTCTCGCAGCGTCTGGCCCAGCATCCGAATGAACCGTGCGGTTGTCGGTGACATGCGCGACGCCCTTAGTGGCGAGACGGAGAGCAACCCACGTATTCGATTACACAAAAGGAAAATCCCTAACCAGTGGATGGTTTGAAAATTAATGATATGCATATTGAGATCGATTGCGAGGTCGATCGTGGAATCGATAGCGAGGGCGGTTGTAAGGTCGATCGTTAGACTGATGGTCAAGTCGGTTCAATGAGATCGATCGTGAAACCGACCGTGAGATCGTTCGTGCGATCTATTGCGGGGATCGGTTGTGAGATCCATGAATGGAATCGGTAGAAAGATGGGTCATGAGATCGATGATGAGACCGATCAATAAGAATACTGCCCAAGAGCCGGGGATGCCGGGAACATCGTCGCCCTCCGACGTCGGCCCAGGACCCTGTGCTGGGGGCCCGGGTACCCAGAAAAGAAAACCCGGGAGACCGGCCGCCCGCCGAAATCGGCCCGAGAACATTCGCCCAATCCTTCAATCTCTGTCAGGACCACATCAGTGCAAGCGCTGATCAGGGAACAATTCACAACGTGGCACCGCTTGCACAAGACTGGGCACAGCAA